ATCGTACATGCAAAAAAAGAAAACAAAAAAGATCGACAGGTTGCGCGCCACACGTCGGTGTAAACCAGTGTTTCTCAACCTCTAACGAATCGTCGCCCCCTTCAATATAGCCGTTACGTAGTATCGCCCCCTTCACTTCAAAATTCCGATGCCGAGGGCCAAGGCTAACGCCAAATTCGTACTACATTGAATAGACTATTGACTAGTATAATATTCGTTTAATTATTGTACGATATAACGAATAAAATATCTAATTATTCTTAATGTAATGTTTTACTATATCGCCCAGAAAATTGTTTTTCGCCCCCCAAAATATAAATTGTTACTAATCGCCTCCTCAACATGGAAAAACGCCCACATGGGGCGATATCTTCCCCGTTAAGAAACACTAGTGTAAACAGACTAACATGGCAGAATTGCAGATGAGTTTCAGTGAGTGTGAGTTCTTTTGCTGTTAAAATAGTGTAAATTTGTAAAAATATTTGCAAGAGCTTCGTTTCATCGTAATTTCACAATTTCTACGAAATTCCCGGACAAAATTAATAATTCACCCGAATAGTGAGTCAATTCCCAGACTGTCCGGGTGAAAACCGGACGGGTGGTAACACTAGACGTAGGTAAAGCGGAGAGCGACAGCCCAGGAGCGCACAGCATAACTAGCAGCGATGATCTCCAATGACTCGGAGCACCTGGGAGGATCTTGAAGGGACGGGCTAGCCAAAACGAATCCTGGGACGTCGAACTAGATTTTGCTGTAGAAAGATAGGAGCACAAAATTCCAGGAGAAGAGTGCTATGAACCAAGAACTCCCCTACCTTGAAATGCGCAGTTTTATAAATTTTTCCCATATAGCCTCCTTTTCATTTGTCCCGACTCGTCACTTGGTGACAATTCGAAACCGATCAGAGGGCGCGGGAGAGGTAAGTTTCGCGACTAAATATGACTCCTCTCCAGCCATGTTTCCCTCGATTATTTTCATATTTTAAAGTACTTTGAATTAATTAAAATTAATATTTTATTATAACCGCATCATGTATCTTATTACAAATTTCTATACTACGTATGAAAAAAAAAGATACGATTGCTATTGTACAATATCAGTGGCGGAATGGAAGCGCTGTATTGTGGAAACCGGGTCCAAGGTCTTAGAATATAAGGTTGCCTCATAGAGAAGAAACGCTTCTGATTGGTTTCTTATTTGACGTCACTCGTAGTCGAAAACGAAACATCTTACCATGTCCTTATGGTAAAAACATTACCGATCAGAGGCTCATAGCTTTTATCACACTCTAATATTTCATTAATTACGATGTATATTTTATTAAATGTAAATAAAGATGGATTATAAATAAGAAAAGTCCGGAATATTGAGCAATCTTCGTAATTTTTACGTGTAAAGTAGAAGTTAAATGCGTTTTTCTACACTGTAAATGAAATCGATTTTATCTATTTTATGATATTAGAACAACAATAGTTTTTTAAAAGATTAATTTTAGTAAATTCTATGTATGTGATTTATATAGTCTATAAGTAAATTAATTTAATTTCTATCGTCAAACTACTTTTTTTAACTAAAAATAATATTGATCTATTTTTTAATTTTTAATACTCATGTACCGAAAACGATATTATTGATATCAATATATACAAATTAAGTTTCAAAAGAACAATTTTTTATGTTATAAACACATTTTTGATGCCAATATGTACAAATTAAATGCTACATAAAAACAATTAATTAAATCAGGTACAAACTTTTTTTAATTTTCTATTGTTATTACAATTTACTTTTCTTTTCACAGCGAAACGATCATGTTTAATTAAATTATTCAAAAATTTCAATCTAATCCATACACGTTGCTTTACGTATGTGTATGTAATGTCTTCTGGCAAGTTAATTGTCTGTTTAAGTAATGATGTAATAGATGAAACCGTTTTACATTTCAAATGCAGTTTAACAGTTTTTGTAAAAATTGATTCCATTTTTTTAACTAAATTAAAGAAATCTTCTGATGGTTGTGACAGTCCACCAAAAGATAAATCCTGAACAAGGGACATCATTGTATAACTATGTTCATTTTTATTTTGGTGACTGACACTTCCTAAATTTGGATATTTTTTTTGTATTTTCTTGCAATCCACCCTGCTAAATATTGTAATCCATCATTTTTTAATTCATCTAATTCATCATTTTTTAATTCTACATTTTCCTGAGATATATCACATAAATCATCATCATTTACATTGCATGAATTTTCAGATATTCCTTGTTCTTTAGAACTAGACATATCTGAAACTTCTTGCAGTAAATCTGTTTCTTCAAACATTTCATTTATTAAATAATTTTCAGCTATCTGATCTTCTGTGTTTAATTTATTTTGCAATATTCCTGGTGATTTGCCTAAAATTATCATTCTTACTCTATATATTACTTCAAGTGGACTAGGATGATCATTTAAACCACCTCTAGTTCGAATCTGTGAAAATAGATTTTCTAAAGAATCCTGATTTACTTTGCATGTTAAGATATAATGGTATTTAGAAAATTTTGAACTAAGGTCGAAAAATAAATCTTTAATAGATTTAATAGATATAAGCATTCCTTTTTGAAATGTTTGAAGTGATTTTTAGATACACATGATACATCTCATACTTTCAATTATTCTGTAAGTACAGTAGAGCGTCGATTATCCGAAAGTCAATTATCCGAAAGAAACGTTTAAAGTTTACAACAACCCTATCGCGTCCTTTGAGGTACACTAGTGATGCGAGAAAAGTCATTTGGCATTGACCGGTATCGTTACCCTCGGGATTTGGCACGCATTCACGCACTGCAGACGTACCAAGATCGTCTTTAATTCCATCCATGAGCCACTGGTAGGGAGCAATTTTAACTAAGTGGATTGTTTTAATATTTAAAAAGTAAAGAATATTTTATGTTATTTTTATGTACGTTTCTATACAAAGCTACATTTAATTATAATTTTCTTTAAAAGTATATTCATACAATTGAATATTTTGTACCGGGTATGCATAATTGTATATCCACCACACATTTTATTTTACCAAGTAAGTTTTAATAATTTTATTTTTAATTTTAGCCCTTATATCGTGGCTAGCGATTTAGAATGTGATTGTGATATTGAAAATTTATTTTAAAAAAGTTTTGGCTCGAGACCGTATAATGAAAAAGAAAACATTATTAAAAAAGAAAGACCAATACCTAAATTAAATATAAATACGTCAACAAAAAAATTTGTTCGATAAAATTTATGAAGACGTAAAATGGCTTTGTGGATGCATAGAAATGCAAAAATTGTTTTGTTGGCCTTGCCTACTGTTTTCAAATAAAATTAGTGTGTGGAATATAAATGGCTTTTACGATTTAAATAATTTGAGTAAAGCTGGCAGAAGACACGAAAATCGTAAACGTCACATTGATTCTTTTGTAAAATTGAAGCAATTTAGAAATCAAAGTAGAATATAATTTAACATTGGTAAACAACATAAAATATTGAAAATTATAACGAGATAATTACGGCTAATAGATATAATATATCAATTAATAGAAGTTGGATGTTTTCTCTCAAAGCAAGAATTGGCATTTAGAGGGCATAGGGATTCTATTGAATCTAATAACAGGTAATTATATTGAACTTGTTTATTTATTAAGTACGTCAGATAATCTATTAAAAATACATTTAAAGAAGTGTACGGTTTTTACTGGCTTATCGAACAAACGAATACGAATGGACCCTGACGCGCAATTAACTGATTGCTCCTGGAAGTCGGCTTTTTACAGAAACACAGCTTCCCTATTATCAAATGTCACGGCACGCCACTGGTATATATATATATAATTTCAGAGATGANTCTCTGGGCATCCCCGAGCATACTACCAATTGTCTACGGACATAAAGAAATATTTATCATCGCGTATACGATGTGTATATTAAATTTTTTCTTAACTTTTTGTTCCTTAGACATAGGTGTAACCACATGAAATATGCATTCAATAGAAACCTGCAAAGGAAGATCCAGGAGCAAATCTTGGTAAATTTTTGATTCGCGTAACGAAGTAAACAATACCTGAGTGTTATTGTTTTAGTTATTATTATTTAAAATAAACTATTATACATGGACTTAAACAACGTAAAAATGTAGCGAAATTGAAATGTTTAATCCTTTATTTTAAAAATAAATTGTTTTAATTAAATAAGACGACGACCGCCTTTCTAAATTCCTTTGCTATAAGATATAAATAACGAACCTTGTTTTAAAATTGTCCAAATGGACGATCAATTATTATTATTATTTTTCTCCCGAGTTTTTGAAGAATCCGAGTCTCGTCCAATTCGATCCTATATGATTTATAATATGTATTGAAGGACCAATGATAATGAATAAGAAATGATTTTTATTATCGAGTTTTGAGTAGATAAAAAATAAGGTGTGCCTGCCGTGTAGTGAACGCGTTTCTACTACTAATTTTTTTTAGTGTGATATATACTTTTTGTTAAATTTTGTATCTTGGAGGAGGACAATTTGCTAGTACAAAAAGATTGGGGAGATATGTTTCCATCCCTTACGGATCGACGCCCGTGTTATCGACAAGCTATTTAACATCTTTGTCAAAGAAACTAATGACTCGTCCTCTTAAAGATAAAACCGGAAGACGCTATAATAGAGATCGTTTCAGTTAATCGAAAACACATCTATAATATACAAATGTATTGTAGTGAATATACTTGTAAAAAATATGCGAATAAGACTAAGGAATTCGCCTTTTCTTCTGTTTTTAGCTAGCTGCCTTTTTTTCCCATACTAACCAAGGAACTTCACGAATTCGATCTAAGAATACGCCATGATTACCGATTGTTATGCGGTATGCGCATCTTACAATCCGTGAGCCGCGTTTAAATCATGGATTTGTTTATTATTTGATTAATTTTCGTAAAATTTGAAAAAAAAAATTCTGAGCCATTTGCTGATTACGAGTTTAAAAAAATCGGATTTTTTAAAAAATTTCATGTACAGTACCCACAATAAATATTCATCTAGCTGTACAGATGACGCACATACTTTTTGGCTGGTAGTTCTAAACTTGGCCGAATGACAATTTTTCCTTTCGGAATTTTAATTCTGGATATTTTATGTTATAAAATCTATCCAACGGATTGGAGAAGATCTACGAAAATATTGTATAATATATTTATATATTAGTTTATTAATGCTAATGATTAAGACGAATATATAACGAAGACTGCTTAATTCTTCGTAGTAAAATTTAACTTACATTTTTATAGCAATTCTTTTTCCCCGAATATTTGTTTCCTCTTAATACGTATACATTAAATATCTCCGAACAATTAACTTCAAATAATTTTCCCTGTAGTTTCTATCACTAAATCAAAATAATTGACGAATTAATTTCCTCTCATTTGTATGTTAATTTTTTATCGGGAGTGACGGCAGTGACTCCCCTCCAAGTAAAAAAGTCACCAACTGACTAAGAATATATAAAATAATTATAACTATTCTTAACAAAGTTCTCTTCGTCCATTGGTTCATTAAAATTAAAATGTGTACTTTAAAGGCGTCTACATAAAAATATTTTGTAAAATTCGGCAGATAAAAAAAGACACTTCTTCTACGTTAAATCTACGAGAAATAAATATTAATCGCATTTGAAATTTCTATTTTATGTAAAAATAATGTAATTTCGTTTAACTGATATCAGGTACGACGAAGTTATACGTTAAAATTCTTATCGAATGCTCTCAATAAAGGATTTGAAGTAAAGACATCAGCGCATATTTTCGATATACAGTGGTACCTCAGGATACGAAATTAATCCGTTCCGAAACTGAGATCGTATCATGAAAATGTCGTAAGGTGGATCATCTTTTCCCATACGATTACATGTAAAACCAAATAATTCGTTCCAACGCGAAAAACATACTCAAATTAAAGCCAAGTAATACATTTAAAAAAATAACTGTAGTAAGAAAAACAAATGAAAAATGCGAACTAATGTAACGTCGTATGGTGAGTTTTTGTTCGTATCGTGGAGCAAAAATATGTTCGAATTTCATGTCGTATCCTGAAAATTTCGTATGCTGGGGCGTTCGTAACCTGAGGTACCACTGTATTAATTATAAATACAATGCAAATTAATTTAGGAAGAAAGTTTTGCATTATCGCTCAGTTGACGTGATGCCACGAAATGAGTAAAACGAGTCTGACGTATCGATATCGAAGTTGGTGACTCGAAACAAATATCAGTTTCTGAAATGCATAGTTAGCGCTTAGACGGAAATTTGATAGAATATATAATTCATCTTCTATAATACTACAATATCTATGTCGTAAGTACATATTTCCATTCTAAACTTGTATATAAAATAGTTTTAACTAACTTTTACAATTATATTTTAACCCCCTTCATATTTCAATACGATTTATTATTTTTCATATCTAAAAAATCTCTGGGTCTGTCTGTTCACTCTGTCATATATCTCACAAACTCGAATTTGAAATATTATATTCAATTTATTCGTACTTTCGTTCGTCTTCCTCTGTATCCGTCGGTCCGTATGATTTAACGGAAACCAAATTAGCTGGCTAAACTGGTTTCATTAATAGTAGACGACCACTTCTACATCATCGATATAACAAATTAATGTTGTTTTTGAAACCGTGTTTTGCAAATATATTGGACTTCGAACTCAAATGTGAATTACAAATAAACACTTGGCTTTATTTCCATCACGTTTTAGTTGATTCAACAAAAAAGTGATGGAAATAAAACCAAGTGTTTATTTATAACTCACATTTAAGTTCGAAGTCCAATAAAAAATTAAGTTAAAAGCTTAAAAAAATATCATTCGACTCTTATAGTTCTAGAAATTTTCCAGTAGCCTATATACGAAGTTTTTCAACTATTTTATTCCCCTTATTCATTTGTTGGCCCATTTGGAAAAATAGGAAATAAAATTAAATAACTTATTCAATCATTTCTAAAAGGAAGAAAACAAAATCCTCATTTTAAATGCAAAAAAACCTAATGTAATGCATATTTCTAAATAATTAACATTACTATAAAACTGTAAATTCGATATATTTGATACCAATTCTTATAGGCCTATATTACAAAAAAAAAAAATTGCTAAAAATATGAATTTATAACAATTGTAAATAGATATAATTTCATTTCCACGAGTAATTTTAATAATGAAATCTAATTTACTGTATTAACGTCTAAACCTCATTCATACTGTATTAAACCTTAAACAGATTTGAAAATTGAAGAAGTGATATCGAATTCTTAGCCTATTCAAGGCCGCCCAGAGGGTAATGGGGATCCGAAGCAAATTAAATTATGTTAAAGGAAGTAAACGCAAAAGCAGTGTATAGAGACCCTTAGTTCCTCGTGGCCCAGGGCAATTGGCTTCGTTTGTCCCCCTCTCTGGGCATCCCCGAGCATACTACCAATTGTCTACGGACATAAAGAAATATTTATCATCGCGTATACGATGTGTATATTAAATTTTTTCTTAACTTTTTGTTCCTTAGACATAGGTGTAACCACATGAAATATGCATTCAATAGAAACCTGCAAAGGAAGATCCAGGAGCAAATCTTGGTAAATTTTTGATTCGCGTAACGAAGTAAACAATACCTGAGTGTTATTGTTTTAATTATTATTATTTAAAATAAACTATTATACATGGACTTAAACAACGTAAAAATGTAGCGAAATTGAAATGTTTAATCCTTTATTTTAAAAATAAATTGTTTTAATTAAATAAGACGACGACCGCCTTTCTAAATTCCTTTGCTATAAGATATAAATAACGAACCTTGTTTTAAAATTGTCCAAATGGACGATCAATTATTATTATTATTTTTCTCCCGAGTTTTTGAAGAATCCGAGTCTCGTCCAATTCGATCCTATATGATTTATAATCATTAATTTGGTCAGTGCATCAATTCGCATTCTTCAAACATACCGACTAGCCGGGCTCGTGCAAGATTGCTAAAAGGGTGGCGTTTAAAATTATTTTTCACAAAATATTAATAGTTTACTGCATTGCGTTACTTATATTTAGACAGAGGAGGACTAAACAGCTACAAAATAAATACAAGTTATATACAATATACTGTTTAGCGACATTTTTCTGTTTGAATCGCCAAAAGAGGTTAACCTTGTGTACTGTACAAGGCATTGCGTCTAACCTCCTTTGCGAATCAATCAATCAATCAATATGAATCGGCTTCAATTTTAGGTGTTCTCGAATGGTCTGCTCAACTGAAACCGATCGCATAAATGTGTTGAAAAAATTCAGTCCAATTGTTTTGAAATGTCGGATAAAAACGTGTTACATGGGACGAATGAAAATAAATGGATATTTTTATCGTACAAGTGTCCAAAACTTAAGGACAGACGGCGTCTGTACACGAGCAGAGGGAACTGTAGACGAATGCAGACAAATATGGTAAGAACTGTATTACTCGACATCTAACACGGGTAATACACAACTTGCAGGATTTTACAAATCAAAGCGACAAAAGGAGTCTTTAGTGAAAAAAGATAGATACGACAGTCGAACATTGTGGAGAACGAATGGAAAGTTCTCGCCAATACCCAGGCAGAGACCTTCAGTGAGGAATATGTCTATGTCGAACTGCGATGCAGCACTCAATAGTTTTGGTGACGAGTCTGCCATCGCCGCTAGCAATTGTGTTCGTCCTTAAGTTTTGACAAGTGTGTAAGTATGATTACGTCCCTCATAACAATTTGGTTTTAAATTAATCTGAAACAAAATAGTTTAAATTTTTATCATCAATACGTTTATCCCCCCACATAAGTACACGTGATTAATTAATAGAAACTCTTAGCATACCAGTATTTATTTAACCATAAATAGCTTCTGCTACAAACTCATAATCTTGAAATAATGCAAATAATTTAAATTACGACTTGAAATCTTTTCACGTAAAAATTTTAGTTCATTACTGAAAATTCTATTAGAGAAATATTTCTGTTTGAAATAATTAACTTCGTTTACTTTGCTTCCAGTTGATGAATCGAGAAGTAAGAGAAATGAATCCTCGTTATCGACATCTAATGACAGTCAGTGGTGAGACATTCGCTGCCTATTCGTCCGCTCGTCAGATAACGGAAAGTTCTCCGCCATGTTGCGCAGTGGGAGAACACATGTTAACTTCTACCAATCGAGATTTTCTCGCTCGTAGTCTCAGCATTAACAGCATCGTCGACGTGGATGTAGGTATCACTGATCGACCCTTACAACGGTATTAATAATTAAAAAAAAACACACGTTTCTGAATAGATCAACGATATAAGCGGAAACGAAGAGATGTTGGCAACTACTTACTCACTCCGAAGATGCAAAAAAGCCGTACTTCAACCGTACACGTGGCTGTTGCTGTTGGTGAGTGACGGATAATCGATCGTAAACGCAATTCGATTTTCCAAATTTTTGAAAAACTTTCTTTCCAGATTGGTTGGAGAGCATACGGAAAAGAAAGAGTAGTGAGATATCCTCTAATTTGGCAGGTTATTAATATACTGTACCCCATTTTTGTCATAGTCATTTTCTTGTATACAAATATCATGCAAGCAATTACTTGCCACGGAAAGTTAGATCCTAAAACGGATACAGTAAGTAATATCTGCATTAACACTATATAGAATACATGCACGATCACGATGTCGTTATTAATTTTAGGTTCCGGCGACCACAGTCCCCGCGACGACAAGACCACCTTACATGCCGTTTTTCTATATCAATGGACAAGCGAAAGCGACGTCAGCAGAAGAATGTAGCCACATCATCATCATATATATTGTTCCCAGTATTCTTCATTTTATAGCTTTCTTGTATGGATTTCATTACTTCAGGATACAAGAAAACGAACAGTTGTATTCTTTAATGGAAAGGGTATGTGAAAAATTGATTATATTATTAAAATATTTACTACAGATACTTCTGCAATTGTAGGTATTCGTTCAAGCCCAAACCGCTGCCGGTATGCAAGATGTATTAATCAGAAATTCCAGGTTGAATATTTAACTATTTAAGAATTTAGAAATTACAATTTAAATTGTTATAACATTATATATATATATATATTGCTTATTATTAGATTGTTCTTACTAGCAGCCGTAATTTGGTTAATTGCCAACATTGGATTAGAAATTCTCTATTCGTTTGCATTCGAATCACTATCGTCGTCATTTATTCAACATCTAAATATTGAAAAGTATATATCTTTTTTTTTTAAATTTGAATTTTAAATAGAAAAATATTAAATTAATTTTTAGCGAATCGGTTCGATACATCCTGATCATTTTGAGATTTTTGGGACTAATCCTCACACAAGGAGTTAACGTTGCAGTTATTATAAATTATTGCACTCAATGCGAAATGCTGGTTATGCATATTCGTGGAATTTGCCTTCATCTTCACGAAAAGACCCTTGATATAAAGAATGCTATGCATGTAAGAATCCAATTAATTAATTACGTTTATTATTAATTCACTAATAGCTTTGAAATTACTACTACAGGAAATTCTAGGTGTAAAGGAGTTTATAAGCCTGTTAAACGGTACACTTGGAAAGATGACTGCTTTGTGCATTATCGGTTTCACCGAATTAATTTTTATAGGTAAATGATTCGAGTAACAAAAAATTGTATGCAGATTTTTCATTAACTTATATTTTTAGGATTTGGATTACTACTGTGCAATCAAGTACATAAAGCCACCGTATGGTCTTATAGAGTAACTTTTGTCATCGTATGGGTTGTCGCTTCGTTATTTCCTATTATACAGGTAGTTTTATATACAAGGTATCCCATAAGTCTGGTCCCATAGGAGTTATGTTTATACTTTTAGACTCTGAGTAAGTAAGTACGAATTAGTTATTTTGATGCTTGTGTTGCTAATTTTGGAAGTAACTAGACAGATGCAACGGGAGCGCAGGCGCAGGGCGAAACGGGATCTGAAGTGGGATATCAGAATTATATTTTCAAATTTTGCAGCAGTGGGATCAGATTCCGTAATGTTTTGGTTTAAAGTTAGATCCTCGAGATGTTCCAATTTTTAGGTCTCTATTTTTCGCAAACTTTCAGTCTGTCGTTGATTACTGTCTGTCAGATCTAGTGCTGTACAGTACCTTTCTATTCCACAAGGTTTCTTCTGAGTTAGACAAACATTGTGGCTTCCCCCTTCTTCAGTTCCGCTCTGGAGCAACCAATTTTTAAAAGCAAACAGAATTTTTGGTCGTGTTCTGAATATTTTGACGGTTTTCTTCAGCCCAGTAATATTTTAATGAATATCTCTGCACGTGATACCCGATATTTCTCATGTTTTTCCATCCCGCGTTACCTGTTAAACACTGTAAGGCGTTCATTCTATTACCGTGCCGTGGGTCATCTCCTGGATTTAGATGATTCACTTTTTATTGATTTTAAAAATTTAGTATATTTGCTGCATGTATTCTTACTTTATTTCTATTCCTAATTAGCTGTTTATATTCTTTCTTACTGGGTGTAGTAATCAATAGTCTTCAGACTAAGTATACAAGAATAAAGGATTAATTGATCATTTCTGTTATATTTTGGCTTCCCATTTTTGGAAAAAATCGGGCATAGGGCACCCGAAAAGCCGAAATTACGGCATCGACGGCGTGGGCCCTCAGTCAGCAGCGTGAAGTCCGCCAATAGTTTAAAAGACTATATACAGACAACTGCATGTGATTGGTGGGAAGTCTGGATAAAGCCTGTTAAACTTTTCGGCAACTTTACACTAAAATAACTTGAATTCGTTCATTATCAGCTGTTACGTTACATCTATAAAGATTAAACAAACATCTACGTAAGTCCTATGGGGCCAAACACTTTGTATATTTATAAATTTATGGCATTAACCACTATCTTTTCTGAAACAAAAAATTAATTCAAGGCAGCAAGAGTGTCCAAAGCGGGAAGAAAGTTAACTCAGATTTCTTTAGAAATGAGAGTATTCGGTTATCAGGCATCATCGCAAATGGAATTGGATTCGTTTATTTTATTTAATAATACTGCTAAATTAAGGGTAAGTATAGATTTTCGGTCAAATAAATTCACAATCTGTTCTGGTTTTTTTTTTTTTTTTAACTAACTGTTCGTTTTGCAGGCAAAATTATTTGGAGTTGCCATCTTACCTGGTTCTGTAGTCATTACCATAATTTTAATTTTTTTTGTTATATTATTATTAATCATCACAGATATGGTGCCCATTTCGACAATCTGGAGATTTCTGTAATCCGAACACATCTCAGGAAATATTTGAATTAGTGGTAGTCTGTAAAAAAGTAAATAAAACTTTTTATAAAAAAAAATTCTTTACAATATGGCCAATTCATTAGAAAAATTAATTTAATTTTCTTGTATAATAATTTAAGGAACAGTATTCTTTGGAAAGGTTTATTTTTCCGATAAAATTGAAATCTAAGAGCATATACATTAATGGATAAATGAAATTATGTACATTGAGCAATATTATTTCACTGTACAAATGTTATGTATCACATTTAATATCTTTGAATTTTTTTAAGACTGTACAATTTTTATATTCTAAATTAATAAGTACATAATTAACGAAATGGAATCACTCATTGCTTTATGAAATATAATGTAAAATCGACGGGAACGATTCAAACTAGAAACAATTCGATTAGCTTTTTCCAATAAAAAACACAAACTGTACTTTTTACAAAAATTTAATCGAAATATGCTTCAACATCTCCATATGAAACGGCAAAATACTCCCATTGGATCAACATTTTCATTCTATTCTTCTTTAAAATATTTTAATTACGTAATTTTTGCAATAACATGCTACAAAAAAAAACATGACGATAAATATATTTCAAATCTACACAATTACTTTTCCAAACGGTCTTGATATTTGGCAATCTCCAACTAAAATCGAATTATAGTTCTTTTTAAAAAAAAGTTTCCACTACACAAAACTTTTATTGATATCTTCCAAAGGATTCTACTTAAGTTCAATATAACCTTTTCAATTGTTCGTATATTATAAAAAACTGAAATCAGTTAAGGAAAATACATAATTTATGTAAAATTTCTAGATTCGTTATTTTTTAAGTTCGTATTCTTAAAACAAAACACACAAAAAAAATATAAATTTAAAACATTCCTTTAAGTAAAAACAGATTGATTTAAAATTACGTGAGATTTTTTTTACAGAAAAATCCCATAATACAATATTTTAATTTACACTTCGGTGTAAAAACCTTTATTATTTTATCCTTTTTAATTTTTATTTAACTGGCTACTTAGTATTAATAAATATTAATATTATAATATTTACCTTTATACACACTTTTTCGTATTTAAAAATAATTAAAAAATGCAAAAAATCAGGAAAAATCCCCCGAAGGAATTAGGGATCCACGAAGGAAATTATCAATAAATAATGTTTTAATCCATTTAACCTGTTCGTGTAGCTTTCTTACAAAACGCTAAATACCTTAACGCTAACTCACGAGAGAGAGAATATCAACAATTGTTAATTTCCGTGACGTATCAATAACTTCCGAAAGAAAAAATTAATAACAACATTGTAACGCGACCGTGATAAAAAGCGAGAGAGAGAGCCGGAACAAACTTGTAAAAACACTTCCTCAATGGGAAATATCCAGCTTGCTCAATGAAACCAAGCTCGATTTTAGAAAGCCCAGAGTGATACGAGGATCAGAAATTTCGTGTTATAAACTACATTTTTTTGTTTAATAAACTTTATAAAGACGGAATGAGAAAACAGAAAAATAAAAAAAGGGAAAAATAAATCGATAAAAACCTCGATTCCCACGAGTTGGGCTCCTTGTTGAGATGAGTACATTTCTGTGTCACCCGTCACCTCATTGGACCAAAAAGATCGTCATCGCGGACGAAATCGGGGAAAGGTTCGAAAAAGAGAACTTGATATAAAAGGGACAGGCACGATGAGTAAGGGGGTAGAAGTTATTACTGGTGTGTGTGTGTGCGCCGATCGTTTACCTCCCGCCGAGATTCCTGAACGTCAACCAACACCTCTTCCTCGCCTACAAGACTAGAAGACCTCAACACCTACTCAACTGAAAGGAACTTTTTGTGCTGGTACTTAACAATACAACCTAAGGTATTTATCCTACCCGCGCACTATTGTACCCTCTCTCTCCGCGTAAACTAAACGCGAAACCGGTTGTAATTAGAACTAGAAAATGAACGATTACTGACCACGATTCATGTAGTTTATGTTAGCATTTTATTCACTGTTGTAAATCTAATTTAGAGTATGTATAACTAACGTAGCTTACATATAAATAAACGGATGTTTATGTTTAAACTTCTCGAGTGCAGTTTCTTCCATTTTTCTCTCCGTTTTCTCCATTCCGGGTCCAAACCTCGTACGCTACCGCTCGCGTGACATAAAGTCGCGATTTCCGAGTCCTGCGAGACTCCGCGGTGTCACATCCTGACGGAGTGTCAAAGAGACACCGACCTTACGGTCACACTAGCTAAACTATTTTTCCTTTTATAAAAGTTATTTATTTATTCAGAACTGATTTTTATATTATAAGCATTTGCTTTGCTATCAAGTTAATATTGACTGTAAGACAAATAAAAAATATAATCTAATGCATTTTAAATAACAAGCAAGTAATTTTTGACTAACAAACAGGAAAATAAAGGTTAATTCATTTGTGTAATAACTAGAGATATGCTTTGTTTTTATAACATTCTTTAAATCAGTAATGAGCAAACTTTTCTGGATGTGAACTACAAGTGAACTTTGTAGGCTCCAGTAGGCCTCGTATATTTTTTCTTATGGAGTTGCTGGCTTTAAGCCAGCTGAGTACCAACATACTCCACTACACTAAGTCATAAAATATATGCTAATGATATGCAAACTAGAAGTACAGTAGAACCTCGTTTATCCGGACCTCTATTATCCGGATTGTTCAAAATAAACAAAAATTTTACGAATTTGCTGATTTGCACTTGGCGAATTATGATACTGTTTATGTACGTGATGGNTAGTGGCAGAGGGTGTTGGAGTTCATGAAGTGCAGAGGACAATGAAAACAGTGTTCTCCGGAGTGCTTTTGTTCCATGACAATGCAGGGCCACATACAGCCACTCGCACACTGAGCACACTTGCAAAGTTTTGGTGGAATGTGTTGGAACACCCACCATATAGCCCCGACCTTTCACCATGTGACTTTCACATCTTCGGTCCACTAAGAAAAGCATTGCAGGGTCGACATTTTTAATCGGACAGTGAAGTCATGGACACTGTTCGAAACTGTTTCAATCTCAGCCAAACTCTTTCTATGAATGCAGTATCCACTGCTTGGTGCAACAGTGGGACAAGTGCTTGTGTAATTTTGGTGATTACATTTGAAAATAAATAATGGTTACTGTTCCATTTTCATTTGATCCACCCTAATATCCTCTACCATGATTTAGTTGAAATCATTCTCACAATGTTAAAGAATGTCATTTCATAAGTATTTTTATATTTGATTATTTACTTAAAAAATGTATTTATTGAATATTCTATAAATACAGTAGAACCTCGTTTATCCGGACCTCTATTATCCGGATTTTCGATTATCCGGATTTTTCCTTATCCGGACTACCTTCATCCCCAATTAGTCCGGATAATCAAGGTTCTACTGTATATAGTTTCTCATCTTTTCACTTATTACATTTAATTTGAATGTTCATCATCACAAATATCAGCTTGATTAGGGTTACGTAATGGTATGAGGCAAGAAAACAAAAAAATAAAATTACCAAACATTACCAAAGCCCCAGCAGCCACATATTAAGACCATGAGTCACAGGACCATAAGTTGCCCACAACTATTTTAAATTAATAAAACACTAATAATAATCAACACATAATATCACAAAATATCAAAAATATGGCACAGGCACTTTTGTATTATACAGAAATGTTCTCTTTCTTATATAATAACAAATTATATTAAATTTCCCTTTACTGTGTGCAAGACATGCACTTATTAATATTTTGGATTATTTTTGTCTTTCTGATTTACAGCCTTAATAAAATTATATAAAAATATCAATTTTACAATTAAAAAACATTTTAAATAAATACTAAACATTTCAAAATCCTTTAACAAAACATATTTTTAAAACATTAAAACAATGCTTTAATTTAAAATAAATTTGTTCTTCAGTAATTATGTGTTAAATTTATCAATCTTATAAAACTTTAAATCAATTATTAGAATACTGCACATAAAATTATATTAGAGCAACTATAAATTTTAAACACCAATTTACGGTTTTTTTTCTTTGAATGATTATTCAAATTATATATATATGTTGTTAGGCTCAAAGACCGAAATCAATCGCTCATTGAACAAAAAAAAACTACCACCACAATGTTGTGGTTGTTTCAAAATGGCCACGAAGCGAAATTCGTGTCGTGACTTTCACGATATTTGACCACTACACGTTGTGGTGATTAAGAAAAGCAATTAACGCATTCTAAACATTAGCTGATGCAACCGCTATACAGGATCATATGACACACAGTTGTTTGTAACTTTAAAATATGGATTCTAGGCTCAAAACACTTTTATTTACAATTTTTAATGCCGAACAACATTAGTTATACAAGTTTTCCTAGAAATTTAATTTTCATAAAAAAACTTTCAAAGAAATTTTTTAAAGTATGAAATTTTAAAATATATGGAGAAAAATACACATTTGTTTCTTTTGCTAAAAAGTGCTAAAAATCTAACTACATATACTTGTAGGTACTTGTAGCACCTACAAGTATATGTAGTTAGATTTTTATTTTTTAGCAGCTGATTTTTAAAATTTAGCAGCTGATTTTTATTAAAATAAAAATCAGCTGCTAAAGTTAAAAACCACTGTGCAATGGATTTATTATGGTTAAAAGCCACCACACGTTCTGGATGTTAACTAATAACGAGGTGATGATAAGAAAATAAAACTTTCATTCATTATCATTTATTTATCTTCAATCATCTTATATAAGATGATTGAATATATGATATGATTGAATATCATCTTATTTACCGCATACAGAAATTTAACTTGATTACTTTACAACAACATTTAATTATTCATGCATTTTATGTTCTTTGAGCGACATTTGCATTTTTATCAATACAGTATCTTTTAGTGACACATTATAAACCCTTCCTTACTTCCAGATGTTAATATGGATGCTGAGCGAAGTTATTAATACTTCGCTCAGCATCCATATCAACTTTATTAATAAGTTGAGGGTGCATTCTAAATGTTAATAAAGTTACTGTAGAAATTGTAAATTCATTATGAGCATAAAGTCAATCAAGAAGACTTTCCTTGTTTCCTAACAGATAAAGACCTGATGGATTAATGCTCGTAACAACAGCTAAAACATTTCTGTAAGCTGCATGCCCCCTATCAACATTATGCACCCTAACTAAAACAATCGAACCAATTTCAACTGTGGAAAATTACCCTAAATTGAGAAAACTCTCCAAGCTTGAGCTCAAGCTCAAATAAAAAAAAGTAAGATGAATGATTCTATGATGCAGATCCCTGTACTATTATTATGAAATAATAATCAGAACAATTCTTAATTCATTGTTTTTGAAAATTTTAATAACTAAAATGTCTTAGGATTTTTAGACTTTATCAGAGGTATTAATTTACATCTGATATGAAGAGTGCCAATGGTTCAATGGCATAAAGGTTGAGTAAAGTGAAATTCTACTTGGGTGTAATATCCAATAATACCTCAGTTTTTGGTGACTTTGGTTATCATTGGTTTCAGATTTCGCTGATTGTTTTTGGACAAATTACCAATGAAAACCGAAGTATCACTGTACAGTGTATACCCATGTGCCTAGCATCAATCTGCATTATTTCTTTAGCTTCTTTTTGATAATCTGAAACCATGTTGTGACTCTTTGATTCTTAAACACTATGTAGTGTAATAAATTCAAACACTTGGCATTCTATCATCTTTATTTAGTTCAGTTGAACTAAAAAAAAAATGATAGAATGCCAAGTGTTTGAATTTATTACACTGCATAGTGTTTAAGAATCAAAAAATCTTTAGCTTCTGTTGTCCTATCCTAAAACCCTCCAGTTATAGGGAAAAACAGAATGGTTTTAGGCTAAAAATTTTTCCAGTGAAACTTGTGGAGTAATGAGTAATAGCATCAGAACACAGGGTAGTTTTACCCTAGATTTACCCTAAATATAAGACTACCCAATACATTACTCTGAGAGGTTGAAATTACTCTATAAAAGGGTAATTACTCTAAAAACAATAGCACTGGTCAAGAATGAACACAATACAAACTCTGCAATTGTTTGCAATGCGCCCGTTGACAAGTTACAACTTATCCTTTGTATCGTGGTTGCATCAGCTAATGTTCGAAACATGTTATGGCTTTTCTTAATCACCACAACATGTAGTGGTCAAATATCATGAAAGCCATTACACGAATTTCGCTTTGTGGTTGTTTTGAGTTAGCCACAACATGTTGTGGTCATTTTTTTCGCTCAATGAGTGATTTCAGTCTTTGAGCCTAACATATATATAAATTAATTTATAAATAATATATAAATAAGTAATACAACACTTATCAGTAATAATAATAATAATAATAACACAAATTAATATAAATTTCAAAATGAAATTATTTAATAACCATTATAATAATTATTTATTTTGAAAAGAAAAGAAATTGATTTGTTTCCAAACTAAAATTTTAAATTAAAAACAATTTTAGCTCCCTTAAATCTGTATACTTTCTCCTATAGTTAATTTATTAAATTTTTTCAAATTAATATTTTATATAATAATTTTATAGATCACTTTATTTTACAAAAGGATACAATTATATTCCATGGTCCTAATCTTACCCAAGTTGGAACAAAACCCTTGTATAAAGCTAAAAATCCTTCAGTTTGAACCGTCTGTATAATAAAAACAAAAATTTCATTTCAATTTTAAATGCAAAAACTTTTATTCATTCCAACAAGAAACAATCAATTTAATAATTTAGTATTTAAATTATCTACAAATTTAAATATCATGCATATTTAAAAAAAATCCAGCAATGAGTTACAAAACTTTCCCAGTGAAAAAAACAATGACACTAGCTCAAAGTTATTAAATTGTGCAACACCATCTGTTATGAAATGTTATCAAAAAAATAACTTATATTATTAAGTTTTATAAAAAGCCAAAAAAGGCTTAATATTGAGGGTAGAAAAGAGTTTTTAAAAACATTGTAAATGTCAATAACAAGTAAAATTTTCATTAAGACCAGTCTTGCCACTACCTAGACCTGTAATCACCAAAATTTAACAGAATCAATGCCAAAAAAATCCAAAGGGAGGATTGATTGAAAATGTGTGTGTGTATATGTATAAGCATTGGTTCTTAACCTTTTTATACTCATGGCCCACCAAATATTTCATAATTTTTTGTGACTCCCATTTTTTTTAATAATAATTTATATTTGTTAAATTATCTACAATAAATGATTTTTTTATTATTGCTTTATTTTTTATATAATAAATGTAAAACATAACTTTATTATTTCATTATCTATTTAAATAACATTCAAATTTCACAATTAAACATAAAAACTCATTAATTTTTAACAAAAAATAAAATAAGAAACATTTAAAAATTCATAGGAAAAACAAAAAATATTCAAAAATAATTTAATGAGATTTCTGCTGCTGAATATTTTCAACTAATTTGTTAAATAAAAAAAACTAAATACAAAAACTTTATCTTTCTTATTTCACTTTTCAATACGATATTCAGTTATACATCAATTTTCTTTTTATTATATTCTGAAAGAAATTTTGCATAATTTGGCAACCCCAGCAAACTTCTTATGGACCCCAGGGGCCTGCAGCCCCCTGTTAAGAAACACTGTGGATAAGGACTTACTGGTGTTTTATTTTAAAAGCTTCTTTAAAGAATTTTAGTACTATCACTCCAGTTTGAAGGTATTGTGAGTAGAGCATCAATGCCCTCTTACATACAAGTTATCACACCAAATTTTGCTTTTTAATCTTTACCATATCCTGAGATATTAAAAGAAACAGATAACAAAAAAAAAAAATTCAATTTTTTTGCTTTTTCTCATTCTTATGAGATTTTTGCATTCAGATAGTCTCAAAACAAAATTTGCATAAAACCAGGAGAGTCAAATATGACACAATTATAGTACATTCCTGTGTTATAAACATAATAGCCAGGAAAACAGTTGTTAAATTTGTCATTAACTGTGTAAAGAGAATCAAAATTTCAAAAAATATATAAAAAACTTTTTATTGGAAAAATAATATACAGTATACCCCTCCTATAACACAGTACATATGTTCCGTGTTTTATGAAATTCATGTTGTACGAGTTCTTAAATACATGAGCCAATCATAGCCCAGTATGTATGCAGTTTACAGACTACGGCTGTTTGAAAGGCTTTCTTCCATAAAATTAATCGATTCTAGACTAATTTGACTCAACATTTCCAAAACATGTATAATTTTTTGGGAATAATCCATATAAACTATGCTATAAACAAAACATTGTAGGATTACTTACTGAGTGTGCACCGTTCGACGATGCCATTGCTTAAGCTTGTTTTTGTAGCGGAGCGGCGCATCGAATGGCAGGCGCGTGTTTCCTGATAAATTATTTTTCTGAGAAAAGTTTGCTGAACTTTGGAGACATCATTAATATAAATATAATTTTTGTGGCTGTTAAATAATAAATGGTTTTTAGTAGGTCTGCTGCTCATTTAAACTCAACGGTTTGTGCAATATCTGCTATTGGTCTAGATTTGACCAATCCTGTTGCAACACAAGTCGGCAATGACATTTTACTGTATCATACTTTTAGTGTGTTTATATGAATACGGTCGCAATTTTTTTGCCATTATATACAAATCCATATTATATGAACCTGTTTTATAGGGGGGGGTCTACTGTACTCTTGTTTAAAATTCTTCAAAGTTATTTTCAAAATTTTATAAGCCTTCAAAAATTCAAAAGATTCAGGTTAAATTTGAGTTATATATCAAAGTAATAATACAATAAAGAGGACTAGTGTATCAGTTTCATGAAGAAAATTGTTTTTTGTCAATAAATCACTCACAAAATTAAATTAATTATTATTCATATACATGTATCCCTCACACAACATGATCAGAGGCGAACTAAGGCTAAAGCGGGCCCTAGGCACCATTGTAATTCCGGGCCTATTTTTAAAATTAAAAAATTAAAAACCTAATTTCCGGGCCCTAGGCATGTGCCTAGGTTGCCTAGGCCTTAGTCCGTCCCTGAACATGATACTTCTACAACATGGTTTTGCTCTAACACAATTTAGAAATTGAGAATATCCCCCCATGTTACAACACAACTTTCGGTTTTGCTCTAACACTGTTTTGGAAATCCTTCATACAAAATTTCACAACTTTTAAGTGCAAACTCCATTATTCAATTTTTTATTTATTTTTATCATTCAAGTAAATGTGTGTCATCTCAAATTTGCCCATGGATTTTAGAATATTAGAATTTTCAAATTATTTTGCATTTTTCATCAGGTTTACTTTAATTAATAAAAACTGATATGACAAGGAAGAAAAAAATTGCACTAACTTTCCTATCAACCAGATGTCGTCGTCATTGCATTCAGACTTTTTATACATTAATCTTCATATTTAGTACAGTTTATTTACACATTTTTATGTAAGTGTTATTAAACCTTTTTTTAATTGTAGGTATCACCTACGAAATACGAATGAAGTAATTCAAAGTATGAAGTAATCATTCATAAAAATGACCAACAAAATACAGCGGTACCTTGGTATTCAAACACAAATTCTGAAAAAAGGTCACTTGTACTCAACTGAACAAATGCAATCCACTAGAACATATTTTTGATTAGTAACATATTTTTATTTAGTCATCCATAAAAATTTTTTTATGATAAAAATAAAAAATATAAAAATGTTTCTGATACTTTTGATCAAAATCAACAAAAAAAGCTGAGATGATGAGAATACTTTGTAAAAAGAAAACATCCTTATTTAATTAAAATTAATATTAACGTATAATACAGTACTCTTAATTGTGATTGTTAATTAATCATTGATTGCTTTAATAAAGATATTTCTCTTAGTAACAAAAAAAATAGTATGCTTTTGCTAACTTCTGGAACATAACCCTATGTTTTGTACTAGTCCTTTGTTTCATATAGCACAGATTTGCATAACAGTACACTTTTTTGGAATGTTATATAAGGGATGCCTGTAATTTCTTTAATCAGTGTAATAAAACAATGTTCTCTCATTATTAGAAGAGAATATTCTATAGGTAAAAAATCAACTTGATACTCCAGAATTATATTTTATAAAACCCAATTTTATTAAAACATATAAAAGACTCCTTCCACAACTTACTTAAAACATGATAGAAAAATCTGCTTTAATACAGTATGAAAAAATTTAAAAAATATCAAATTCAAACATTTTAAGCCTTGTTTCATTTTCAGAAAATGCTTAGAATATGAAACACCATTATCATAATATCAGCATTGTATTATAAATGTATTCCTAAAATGAACAAAAGCACTACATTTTTATATATATATATATATATACACTGGACGACAAAAAAANTCGTAGAGGCATGTCTGTCACTCAATGAAGTCAAAACCATGAATAAAAGCGCAGAAAATATGCACAAGTCGTCACAGCGTGCACCTTTATACCAGGCAGCAGAAACATTTTTTCCCCTCTGGTGGCGATATAACACAAGAACCTACTCTCAAAAGCTAATCATTTACATAGCTAGCTAAGATGATGCAACATATCAATTTTTATTCAAATCCAACAAGTCCTTCATGGTGCGTTATTTTTTTTGTCGTCCAGTGTATATATATGTCTTTATACTCCATTAAAGTATATTTTTCAGAAAAACAAACACTTTTTCAATCCAGCATTTAATTTTAAAACAAATGTTTTTGGCTAATTTATCTAGCCATTCTCAGGACAAAATTACACAACAGGATTCAAGAACAATGGTTCAAAAATATCTCTGGTTTCTCTAAGAATTATAGTATATACACTAAGCAATTTTATTCAATTATCAGTAAATTTTCTATTGTGATGGTTTGTTTTCTAAAATTAAATGCTGGATAAAAAGATATTTTGGTTTTTCTGATAATTTTGTCCAGTTTGGTATTCCTTTTGTCTATTTCTTTTTATTATAATTTTATTATAATAAAAAGAAATAGGATCCTAATATTTTATGTATTGAAAATGCGAAGCAGGTTAACATCCATAACAGACTGAGATACAACCTAAAGGTTCGTTTCAATCTAAAAATGAAATGGATATTGAAATTTCAAGTACCTAAAAGATCCAANCACAAGAAAAATTAAAGAAATTTATGTGTAATTAAATGTGTTAAACACATTTATAACACAAGATCGTGTAATATAATGTGTTATAAATGTGTTAAACACATTTATAACACATTATATTACACGATCTTTCATATTGCAAATATACTTTAATTTTTATTCACTGCTTTTTGCTTTCTTTTCTTCACTTCCACCAGCACTTTCACTGGATAGAGGTCACCGTCACTTGGAAAAATATCTATCCAAAGAAGTTTGGCTTTGCTTACTTTTAAAATGTTTCTAAAATGACTTGGGCAAATGTCATTACTCCAAGCAGCAATACAGCCAGTGTGAACCTTTTTGGGATGTTTCTTTTTAATAAAATCAGTCACTTTCTGATAATACCTCAAGATTTCCTTTATCGAGTGAGATCCTTCCACGACAAAGCAAACACATGGACTGAGACCAATGAACAGAAGTGAATAAAAAATGGCACTGCGAACTAATGCAACGTCATATGGTGAATTTTTGTTCGTATTGTGGAGCAAAAATATGTTCAAATTTCATGTCGTATCCTGAAAATTTCATATGCTGGTGCGTTCATATCCTGAGGTATCCACTGTACATACATACATAGACACACACACACATTTTATATATATATATACATACATACATACATAAATAAATAAATACACTCATTGGCCAATGAATTAGAAACCCCCATACATATTAAGTAAATGTAATTTTGCAGTTTATATGCGAAACACTTGAGTTGTGTGAGTTATGACATATTCATAAGCTCCTATTTAAGAATGCTGTTGGTCAGTATGGTCATTAAGTTTATGAAAATGGAAAAAGCAAAGGACTTGACAGAGTTTCAAAAAGGGCTGATTGTGAGTGCCTGTCTTGTTTGAGCCATGATATCAAGACCTGTGGAGCTGACTGGTTTTCCAAAGATGAGATATCCCAAGCGTTCAATCAATGGAAAAATAACCCACAGTTGATGTCTAAAAGAAGTAACTGCGGCTCCAAAACAGATAATCAGTAATGTGACTGACATTGTCCGAAAAGGCTAGTGTGAAAAAAGAGGCCTTCCTCTGTGCATCAATTGAAAAAGAATTTAATGAATGCTGTCCCTGACCTATATCTACCCAAACTATGTGTAGGGAACTGAAAACAATCGGTCTGAACAGTCACAGACCTATACAAAAACCATTGATTTCTTCAAAGAACTGGAAAGTTCATCTACAGTTGTGCCAAGAGCACAGTGATTGGACATTTAAGAACTGGAAAAAAGTAATATGATCAGACAAGTCACGATACACCTTATTCTGTACTGACAGTAGACAGAGGGTTTGGAGGGAGCCCATGAAGCAATTGACCCTGCTTGCCTCATTAACACGACTCAAGGTTCTGGTGGGAGGATTATGGTATGGGGCATGTTCTGTTGGGACAGAAATGATCTGCTGATATTCCTAGGTCGGGTGACTTTCAATGAGTACCTGAACACTGTTGCTGATCAAGTGCAATGTTGCATTTTTTTTTCCTGCGTGTGATAGCTCTTTCTTTGATGACAATGCTACTGTCATCAAAGAAACCACAGAGCCCAGATCTTAACCCCATTGAGAATGTCAGGCCTGGGAGTGCCATTTCCCCTTTGAAAAAGTGAGTTGAAATACAGAACAAGTGAGTAAAACGTGAGTGCAATACAAGTAGCCCTCGGTTTATGCTGGCTCAATTTATGCCGATTCACAATAACTCCACTGCGCAATTCACCATTTCGCGGTGTAATTCCCCAATTTTCCCTATGCTAGACTGATTTTCATTTCANGTATTGAAAATACGAAGCAAGTTAACATCCATAACAGACTGAGATACAACCTAAAGGTTCGTTTCAATCTAAAAATGAAATGGATATTGAAATTTCAAGTACCTAAAAGATCCAATAATTTTATTAATTTACCTATCAGGTGTTTTATCTATCCAGAGCATTCTAAATAAAGTTAATTCTTCTATCTATGTCATTTAAACTTTCAATTGGAATTTGTTAACGAAATAACTATTACACCTTGAAATCCAGAAAAATTTGACATATGACAAAATTCAACAATATTACCAATCCAAACACATCTACAAAGGCCTCTCACAAACAGAATGCTGCCAAAATCAATCAATGAATCAATCTTACAAAATTTCTGTTTTATTTATTAGATTTAACATTAATATATATTAATACAGTGGTACTTCAGGATATGAAAATAATCCGTTCTGAAACTGAGATCGTATCATGAAAATGTCGTAAGGTGAATCATTTTTTCCCATATGATTACATGTAAAACCAAATAATTCATTCCAACATGAAAAAAACACTCAAATTAAAGCTAAGTAGTACATTAAAAAAAAATAACTATAGTAAGGAAAACACTGAAAAAATGCATTTTGTAGTTGTAAATGTATAAATAACCATAATAGACTAATAATTGATTTTAAAAAATGTAGTTTTATTTGCACTCTATCTTTGATGATAGACGACGGTGGAGGTGTAAACTAGTGGCAAAAGAGAGGGAGAAGGGAAATGATACTAAAACTTAACTTACATAACATAATGTAACAATAACTTAAAAATAACTTAGAAAAGATATTTTTGTATATTTTTGTAGCATAGGGGATGAAGACCCAGGACTACTCATAGGTATTGCCTGGGGGTGAAAAGTAGATAGAAAAGAGTTTAAGAGAAGAGGTAAAGGTGAAAAAAAAAATAAAGTGAGATAGGAAAGGGGATGAAAGGGGCGGTCCATGGCATCTGCACTGGCATTTATTTATGGAATAAATAACTACAGAAAGATAAAACATATGTACAATGAGTCTTCCTGAAGCTTACAGGAAGTTGCAAAAGCAATACATAATTTTACCAGCTTGAAAAATGCAGACAAGTAGATGTAAATTGTAATTACATAAAAATTCTGACAATCAAAAATAAAATAACATCAAAATTAACTTCCAAAAAGCAAAGTTTACAATTATGTACATGTTGGCACATTGCAGATGTTATTTTGCAGGATGACCATAATTTTTGGCATTTAAAGTTTGCATAGACATTAAACACTTGAAACACATATGTATACAATGATAAAAGAAAAGTCTTAGAAACTTTTACATATATAAGAGTATGATTTGGCTTGCCTGGAGAATTATGTCCTGTTGAAATTCACATTGAGAGCTTTTGTCTCTATGATGAATTTCATCAGCTCTTCAAAAATCCCTCGATTAGAAATCAGTTTGGAGAGGGGGCAAGGCCAGTTAAGCCATGATGTAAAGCACTGTACAGTACATTAGTCTTTCACGTTTTTGTTTAAACTTCTCGCAGCTGAAAATAAAATGTTCCACATTTTGAGTCGAAGAGTTATCACAATCACTTGAGTCCACTTCACTGAAACCAAATCTGTGTAAATATTGTCTAAAATTACCGTGACCAGTTAAAATTTGGCTGGAAAAGTAGTTGATGTACAAGTGTTTCATGGCAAATGTTCCTGAACATCAAGAAGAAAGCTAAACGTCAGCCTTCCTGTGTCACTGCTGATCCACTCCATCTGCCACAGTTGTTTTGCAGTCTGTTCCACAAGATTTTTTTATATTCGTTTTCATTATACTTGTGTAAATTTTATTTTCTGAAGAGTTGGCATAGAGCTTTGAAATCCTATCTATTTCTTCGTTCCCTTGAACGCCACTATGTCCTCTGACCCAGGCAAAGGAAATGTTTACATTTGTAAGATTATAAATTAATTTGGTTGTCTGACACTTGGTGTAATTGCGGTCGATTCTGTTCAAGGCAGTCTGACTGTCTGTACACATACGTATGTTGCCTTTAATCATATTTGACTTCTGAATATAGGTGAGTGCACGGTAGATTGCGTATAGCTCTGCTTCAGGTATCGTGCAATAGTTGGCAAGTTTGAAACCCAAATGATGTTTAAAGTTCGAATTTCCATGAATTGAGTGAACTACAGATGCTCCTACATTGTCCTCAATCTTCGAACTGTCCGTGAACACAAAATGTTTGGGATATGGGTCTACATTGATATTGGTAATAGTAATCCTGTTATTTTTCAATGGGTGGACACTATAAGGAGTTTCACTGAATTTACTTGGATCCACAAATTTCTTAAGAAGATCTTTCTTAAAGTTGGATAGACACCCTATCTCTGCATATTTACTAAGGTTAGCAAACCCTTTTTTTGTACAATTGAAATTGTTAAGTGCCCATGACCAAGTGAGCATTTTAGCACTCAGATGAAGAGGTTTAATACCAGAAAGAACATGTAACGCTGCATTTGAAGTTGTCCGATATACATGACATATCCTGAGTAATATGGGCCGTCGGATGGTTAGAAGTTTTCTTTTAATATTAGTCTTGTCTGCATCCCATCCCCAGAATGGGGCACCATATAAAATAATCGGTTCTACACATGCTTTGTATAGAATTTTAATTGCAGATTGGTTAAAACCCCACTCCTTGTGGACAATGCTAAGTAGCCTGTTAGTAACTTTACTTGTCTTATTCAAAACATAATCTAAATGTTTGGTCCATGTGAGACTGTGATCTATAAGAATACCCAAATATTTAATTGTCTTAATGTTCGTAATCCTGTTCCCATTTATTTCGATTTTGAAAGCTTTTTGTAATGGTTTTCTTTTAGATATAAACATGTTTTCACACTTATTGTAATTTATTACAAGTTTATATTTCTGACTCCATTCGTATATATTTTGTAGTAATTCATTTGCATGCTCCTGTAGTCTTTCTCTGCTTTGATTCGATAACACCAACACTATGTCATCAGCGTATCCTAAAATTTTTCATTTGCTTCTGTTGTTGTCATTTAAATGTAATAAATCATTATACACTATATTCCAAAGTCCCAGTCCTGACCGGGACCCTTGTGGACAACCTTTGGTAATCAAGTGACTGTTATTTCCTCTTTCGTGGTAAACACCAACTTGTAAGGTAACTTTTGAGGATAGTATAAAGATTTTTTTGGCATTGTGCCTTCCTGGGTTCTTCAAATAATGCCAGCCACCAGAGCATGTTAAATGCATTTTTGTAGTCAATAGTGACGATCAGTACATGTTCTTTTTTATGAGATTCCTTGATATATTTTAGAAGATGGCATGATATGTAGACTTATTTTTAACAAAACCAAACTGGCTTTCGTGTATCCAATTGTTGATTTGTAAGTGATGATTGATACGGTCGATTATGAGTCCGTCAAGTATTTTCCCTGAAATTGATAGTAGACTTATAGGCCTGAAGTTATTAGGTGCATATGTATTTCCAGATCCTGGCTTTGGGATGAATTTTATTGATGCATTTTTCCATACCTTGGGGAATTTCTCACTTTCCAAACACCTGTTATAAGTATGAACAAATGCCATGGGAACAGCTGCGAATGCTCCTTTCACCATTTCTGAAGTAATCCCGTCTTCTCCAGGTGCTTTTTTATTTTTTGTAGATTTGATGGCTCTTTCAACTTCAGTAAAGGTAAAATATCTATCCTTTCCAGTATTCGATGTGTTCCTCATTTCAGCTCTAATGGTTTTTTGAATAGAATTATCTTCATCTTCAATGTCCGTTGGGAAATGCGTATCAAGTAAAAGTTTAACCATTTCATCATAGTTTTTTGTGTATGTGTCATCATTTTTCTTGACATTAGCCGGAATGTTGTTTCTTCCTTTTTGTTTGCATACCACATAGTATGGTTCACTCCAGATGTTTTTCTTGCTTGTTCTAGTGCAAAACTCGTGCCAAGCTTTAGTGCGTGCACTATTGATATTAGTTTTGTAGGCATTGAAACACTGTAGATATTCTTGTCGTTTGATTATTTTCCTGTCGGGGGCTCTTTCCTGTCTGAACTTTCTTTGTAGTTTTCATACATTTTGTCTTTGTTTGGCCAAGTGGTTGTTCCACCAATAAGCATAAGATTTCTTAGTGGTATTGAAAACTGATGTCGAGTTGAATGCTTCTATAATGCAGTGATTCAGATGTGCCGCTAAGTCATCTACATCTTTAATATTGTAGATTTCTTTAGATGCCCATAAGATACTAAATTGTTGTTTAAAAGCTTCCCAATCCGTATGGGTCTTGCCACATGTTTCACTTTTTATCACTGGTGTATCTTTTAGGTTCCAGATTATATAGCGATGATCACTTGCACTTATTTCATCAATTGTTTTACATGATGCCACACAGTTCAGGGATTGTACATTGGCAAAACAAACATCTACCCAGCTTTTCCCTCTATCTGAGAAAAACATTGGCAGTTTGCTGGAATTGCAGGATACCATGCCATAGGCAGCACTCGTCTCCCCTTACGTCTTCCACTGGACTAAACCAGATTGGCGACTTTGCATTACAATCTCCAGCAATCATCCAAGAGGTTTGATTTATTTCTTTACCAATGTTGTCGAGTTGTTTTAGGGTATCTTCAATATCCTCAAAAGGAGAGCTGTATACAGATGTGATATATAAAGATTTCTTGTAATTAATATGTACGATGGTGATACATTCCGTGCTGTAGATTGAGCAAAAGTCCATATTAATCTGAATGTTTGGAGATAGTATGCCAGTTTTCGGATTATTATAAAGACCCTTTGGTGGGTAAACATTCCACCTGTTGAAGCGTGCAACAGTACCATGTATCGTGTACGGTTCCTGTAGGATAACTATATCTATTTTCTTCTCTTTCACTGTTTTAATCAGCAATGACGAGGCTGCCTTGCATTTCTCGGCATTTAATTGTAGGATTTTTATATCATTCCCCAAAATACAGTTCCTTGAGAATTCAGTGTATTGTTGATCATCAGAGTATTAAGACTTGTATTATTACACCCCACAATCTGTTTGTTTTTGCAGAGTTTGACATTGTGAGCTGTAAGCATTATAGTTTGTTGGTGGTTGATCTTTGTTAAATTTCATACAATTGATGCAACAGGGTGTTGTGTGCAATTCACTGCATTCCCCATACCTATTTCCCTTAGAACAATGATTGCAGTGTATATTTTCAGAACAATCTTTGGCATAATGGTTAAATCCTGCACATTTGAAGCACCCACCTATAGGAACATAGTCATCAGTTTTGACATTAGCCCAATCAAGGGCGATGTGCTTGTGATTAACCATGACAGTATTATATGCCAACAATTCTCGTGTGTCTTGCCTCTAGTAATAGTTGTACTAAATCTACAGTTGTTGAAAAACTCTTCTTTCTCCATAGTATCCCATATATTATTTTGCTTGTAAATTGTATCCACAATTTGTTCATCTTTCACTGTATTTGGTACGTTCAATAGTATCACTCGTGGGCTTCTTCCCTCTGTGACATGACATTTAACTTTATTATTTATAGTTTTGATCTCATCTATTGCTTTCTTAAGTTTTATTCCGTCTGAATGGCTTCCCACTCTGAAACACGCTCCGTTATTTTTAACTCTTCTAATAGTTTTTACACTGACACCAATTTCAGCTGGTTTTATCTCTTTTGTTATTGTGGATACTATCGTGTCTATATCTGGATGTTCTTCTGTCACTTCCTCTGTAGGGTACACTAAAACAGAATGATTGCCTCCTGTCCCTTCATTAACTAGCTTAGAAGATAATGATTTGGTAATGTTTTTAGTTGTATCACTTGGTTTGTTATTTATTTTAATGGCTTGAGCATAGGTTTTAGCTGGTACCTCTATTGTTGTTTGTTGTGTTACCTTCCCTTCACGTAACATTTTGATTACACTCATGGCCTTGTATAGACATCCAAAGAGGCGTGCTGTGTAATCCCGTATTTTAAGTGTTTGTTTTATTTTAATACCCATTTTAGAATTTTCAGGGCAAACATCCATGACACGGTCAAGGAGCACCCTGGCTTCACGCATAATGTTGTCTTCAATAGGTGCCGATTTGTCCTGCTGCACCACAGGGGATTGGATAGGAGTTGGTAATGGTGACCTTTCTTCTAATGGTTCAATGATAACAGTGGAGTTCATTGAAAAAGAGCTATCTGAATCTATTTGTTGAGAGATGTCACCCATTATGGAAAGAAATGGAGAAATCCCTAACCAAAATACCCAATAATTTAATCAACAAACCAAAAGGCTTATTGAATATCCAATGGAAGACAATGAAGCTAGCAGTAGCCTTAGGAGATTGGTGAAATACAAGATATAATATAAAAAATGAAAGTGATAATACTTAAATATTAAAATAATATTAAAGCAACAATAACCCTATTATTAAATAAGATGTATGAAAAATAAGCAAAAACAAAATTAGGGTATNTGACCTGAAAAGTGAGAAAAGTGAGGATACTTCAGAAAAGTGAGTACAAGTGAGAAAAGTGAGCGACTCCAAGGCCTGGAATGTACAGAACATGTTAGAATGACATATCTGCCAGCACCTTGTAGAATCCATACCAAATCAAGTAAATGATGTAATCCAAGCTAAACGTGGTCCAATAAAATATTAAACTGCTGTTTCTAATTCATTAACCAGTGAATATATATACTTCACATTACTCATGATAATTGTGTTTTATACTGATATATATTTTATTTTATATACAGGTAACCCCGTATAACACGGTTCGAAAATTGGTACCATCCCCTGTATAACACGGTACTTTTATAGCACAGATTCACTCTGACACGGTTCGAGAAATGGGTAAAACCCTCATACAACATGAAATGTTATAAATTTTTACATACTTAAGTACTAATAGTTCACGAAAATTATTATTTTTGTGAACTATTAGTACTTCAGCGTGTAAACTTTCTTTTCTCGTTTCCATATATATGGTCCTTCGCGAAAATTGTTTCAATTTTGCCAGATCTCAACGCTTCTGCTTCTGGCGTTGCCAGATGTTTTTCCGTTATTCCATAAGTACTTAGCACCATATAAGGAAATTTATAAAGATCTTTTAACTAGAAGCAAGCAATCTAAAATTACATACACTTTTTGCAAGAGGTAATGCATGAATCTGAAAATAATGCAGAAAAATGCTCAGAGGATAATGATAACTTGCTAAAAATAAAACGCTCTCGGTTAATAGTGCTTTTAGTGATGACAAAGAAAACATTGTTTAATTTATATTAATATGTATCACTTAAGAAAATTTTAATAAAGATATTTATCTTAATTATGAAAATATAGTAGCATGTTTTTTAATTTTTGGAACCTAACCCTCCTTTTCGTACTAGTTCTTTGTTTCGCATAACACGGCAATTTTTTGGAATGTAACTACCGTGTTATACGGGGGTTACCTGTACATATAAATATGTTTAAAAACAATTTTATCATCACCCACCATTAACAAAAACGTTAATTAACAGTAAAAGAAATATTTCTTTTTTTCTATAGGCAACTATTTTTGGAGAATTATTATAAATAACAACATAAATATATAGAGTATTATGAAGTACCATAAAACATTAGGTTTGGATTGCCAAAAGACTTCATCAGTGGAGCTCTAATTTAATGATATAATTATGATAGAAAGTTATTACTAATTCACAAATCACATAGTTTTTTTAATGCACAAACATATGCATAAGGCAGCAATTTTCTACTGATTTTTCAGACAAAATTACACTAAACATAATTGCCATTCCTTGAATTTGACAATTCTGAAAAATCCTGTGGTGTATCTTTTCTACATGTGCCAAATTTCAAGGTCACATGTTGTTTAGTTTATGACCTTGGTTCCCAATTAGTGGTACGCATACCCCTGGAGGTATGCGAAATTGCATAAAGGGGTACGCGCGGCAATCTAAAATCGGTCAATTTAAAATTTAAATGCATGAGATGAAGCAATCAAAAAAATAATGGGTGGACCATCAAACATTCAGCAGTTTACAACATGATGTCAAATGCACAAATTCGTTTATTTATAACTAAAAATATTCTCGAAATTTCATCAAAAAAATGCATTTGTGACAATACCTAAATGAAATTCTTATGCAAGAAACAAAAATTGTACAATTAACACAATTTGTGTTTGCGAAAATAATTTTGAAAATTTTTATCGCTGTTATTTCTCGCACGCAACAACGCGACTTCTCGCAGAGTATAATAAGACTTCACTGTGTTTAATAATCAGTTGCGACATCTTGCTTCTAAATCATGCACATTTGTTACATTAAAATTAAATAAACTTATGTTATTTTCATTATTATTAGAATTGTACTTTAAAGGTAATGTAAAAAAAAACTTATTCTATTTATCACTAGCTGTCTACCAACAGCTTCACCTGCATTATATCAAATTTTCTTGTAGGAGTAAGATATTTTCTCATAGTAAAATGTAGCCTATGTCCATCTAGAACATATAAGCTATCTCTGTGCCAAATTTTATTAAAACCTGTTCAGCAATTTAGACGTGAAAAGGTAACAGACAGACAGAATTACCTTCGAATTTATAATATTAGTATGGATTAATATGAATTTCTGCTATAAGGGGTATGCGAGTTTAAGCTCTTTCTTGAAGTGGTACGCAGGAAAAACTAATTGGATACCACTGGTTTTTGAGATATTGTTTTGTTTGCAGAACAATGTCCTTAACTATTCTCCTATAGGAAGCCTTTCCAACTTTGTGAAAACATGAACTAATGTGAAAAGAGTTTCAGCTGGAAATCAATGATGGGAAGGCTGAGGTGTTTCTGAGAAGAACCAGAAAATGTTCTGTATTTTTTGTGCACAAAATAAAGCCACAAGAAATGTAAATTGTTGAAGATCATAGCAGTCTAGGCTCAGAATTCAATAATGTATTGAGTTGCAGATCATCCTGTCACGATGCCTTGCATAGTTGACAAATATCCAAAACATCATGACTCCCTTTAGCAAGAATCTTAAAAAACCTCCATGACTGATGGCATTGAAAAATGATGTCAGAATTGAAAACTACCACCTTACGCATGCAATTGTGTAAAAAAAAAAGGATTGTATACAAGAACATGCATGAGACAACAAATTTCCATGGCAGTTTTTTGAGGGCCTGGGTCAAGAAAAAAAAAATTTTTTTGACCAAAATTTTTACAAAGTCAGATAGATAGCATGTAGCAAAAGGATTTCATGATAAGTACAGCTAATTAAGTCAATTTGATAAAAAATTTCTTTGAAAAAACTAGAAGTGTGCAAAAATTGCAAGTACCACATGCAATTGTAGGTTAATATATTTCCAATACTAAGAGGAATTAAATTAAAATTCATTAAGCTTTTTTATATAATGCATATTATAGATGCAATTTCTCTCTATAGGATGCAAACTTACTTGAAAAGCACATTGTAGAGCACTAGTATAAAAAACTTCAGCTGGAGCTCCATTAACAATGGCTGCCTTTACCCTCCTTTGGTTCATTAATCTTGTCTGGAATTAATAAAAAAAATTTTTAATTATTATTGAGCAAAAATATATTTTAAAAGCACTTTTATGTTATATTATTTAATAAATTTGTCAGGATTTCAAAATACAGAAAGTTCTCACGTAATATCCTCAATATGTTCTTGGAAACTGATGTTAAGTGAAACAATGTACAGTACAGTATAATCTCCGAATAGCTGGCACTGTCGAGACCAAGAAGTTTGTCTGCTATTTACAGGTGTCCACTATTCGGAAGTACATACTGGTGACTATACTGTATCTTAACCTGGTAGCATCATATTCTTCACTATATATACAAGATATATAGTAAAGAATACAATGGATACAATACAATGGATACAATACAATAACATCAAATTTGCATTAGGAAAGTGAATATAATGAAAAGTATATGTAGCATGTATAATTAAACTATATATAAAATATATTATATATTTTTTCAGCTGTAAAAATCTTGTTTTAATTGAATCTGTTTGAATGTCAAATTATGAAGGTGATTTGCTATCCACTTCAAGGAGTGGGAAATACATTATAAATGTCACAATTTCTAATGTAGTTTATGATCTAAGCGACTAATAAAAATAGATACAGAGATTTGTCTGAACTGTAGTTATCAAGTAGGTGTAACTTTTTGAACATTTTTGCTTTGTCAGAAACTGATTCATTAAAAATTATACTTTAACCACCACAATGGTGTTAAAATGGTTATCAAAAATCTTCTACTCTGAATACTGGTATTCTAATAAAACCGCACTTACTAAACCTTTATTATCCGGTACTTGTAAATTATTCGTAAAAACAAACGTTTTCGGCTTCAGTCGAGGCCTGCTTCAGGTTAAAATACTTTGATTCCATTTTTAGAATGAACGTTTAGTTTTCAAATATAATCGAATTCATGCGCGTGTTACGTATCGTCATCGTTTTGTTGTTCTTTGCATACGTAACGTCAAGCATAAGAAAGCGTGCTGCCGTCTTTGGTGTTTATACATCTCCTCGTCCTGCCGGCTTTGTAGATTTCCAGAGCTTCAAGGGCTCTGATGTGGTCCGTATTAAAAGCTGTATTTATTAATTTGGCTTTTGATAGTTCTGCGTGACTATCCGAGTCGGTTGCGTAGGTGGAAAGTGCAGTGGTGTAACGAGTATGTTCTATGTCATATTTGTGCTCCTTAATTCTCTGTTGGATTGAACGCTTCGTGGAGCCGATGTATACCATTTTTTGTTTAAATCGATCGTCTTTTACAGGAATACTATATACCCCGGAGCTCTAAGATCGTACTGTTTGTCTTTTGCATTACGTAGTAATTGATATATATTGGGGGTTCTTCGGTATGCTACCTTGGTGTTCGTTTTAGTTGCAATTTCTCTACAAACGCTTGAAATTGTTTGCTGTATTCAACGATGTTGAGTCTTCTGTTTGAATCTTGATTAGCATTTTGAGTAATGGGTGCCTCTCGTGTTTCATGTGTTCGTAAATAGGCATTTGCCAGTCCTCGTATTAGTTCTTTTCTGTATCCATGTGCGACTGCAATGCGTTCTATATTTTGTAACTCAGTTATCGTGTCACTCCATTTAGAAGGGTGCGTAAATGCTCTTCTAACCAACGCCCGGAATGCTGCGATTTTATAATTGTACGGGTCCGCTGAGTTTGCCAGTATAAACCATGGGATGTAGCTGGGTTTATAATATATACCCGTATCAATACTTCCACCGTTGAGCATGATGTTTATGTCCAGTGCATTGGTGGTAGTTAATTGATCTAGTTTCAGGGTCAGCCCGTATGGAATTTTGTTCATGTGGCTCAAAAACTCATTGATGTGTGGTTTCGTTTTCCACAGAATAAAGACATCGTCCACATATCTCTTATAAATAATTATATTAGAACTATACTTTGGTATGACTGTTTCTTCCAATCTACATAATACCAGCTCACATAAGTCGCTAGACAGCGGGCTGCCCATGGGTACTCCTCGTTTTTGTAAATAGGTCTTGTTGTTAAATTGGAATATGGAGTTGTAGCACATAAGATGCGCTAATTCCAATATCTGTTTTCGATGTGTAGGTGTTCTAAATTTGTTCAATAGGAGATCTCTTAGAGCGCAAAAGCAAGGTTGCAATTTGATCGAAGGGTATAATGATTCAAAATCACATACTGTGATGTGGGCCGACTCCGTTACCCGTGTTTGCCTTAATATTTTTATAAGTTCTTTGGGGCTTTTGACGTTTAGATCGTAATCCCTCATATGATCTGATGCAATGTTATGAACCACTTTTTCAAGAAGTTATGTTGGAGACCTGGCCTTGTCCAAAATGGGTCTAAGAGAAGGTGTTCGTTTCTGTGTTTTCGCAAAGGCGAATAATTTGTGTGTGTCTGGTGATGCTACTACCATCCCTTTCAATTTTAGCTCCCTGGCTAGTGGTGTTTTTGTAAGCGTTTGACTTGAGCCTGTAGTTTGTAAACATATCCGTCATTAATTGGCTCGCATTCCATATCGTTGATGTATTGTTGCATCAGAACTCTATAGGTGGTTTCTTTTAAGAGTACTAATAATCTGCTCTTGTCCGCTTTTAAAACGATGATGCCTTCCCTGGCTAGCCATTTTTTGGTTTTTTGTAAACATCACCAAAATCCTTCATCCTGGGTTTTGTTGCGGCCAGAACAGATTTCGAATGTGGCTCTCCATCTGTAGTATTCTTTGTGGGTGTCCTTCATGCCCACGATCATCTTTTCAATATGTGGCATCACACTATCCAAGATTGGCTTTGGGGTACCTGGAGTGTACATTGGGCCATTCGCTAATGTGTCAAGTAGATAACCAGGTGGAGATATGTTTTCCCAACATACTAATGGGACGTACAGGAAGAAAATGAATTGGATTTTAAAAAAGCAGAGACCGCGTAGAGAAGAAGTACCTATAATCCCATTAGTATGTTGGGATAACATATCTCCACCTGATTACGTTATTACGAACTGATCTGTTAATGGTGTCTTTTATTCAGATATCGCCAATGCCTTACCGACGACCCCTCTCATCCTCCGCCACTTGACCTGACAAACCGATCCTCATCTCACAGGATCAAAAGAACAAAAACGCCATCCAGTGACAAAGTGGTTTTCACCAAACCGTTACTGGGAAAAGAGGTACGACCTTGTCCTACCTCCAGCTACCACAAAGGATATGGCGACAGACTGTCGCCTCTCTGACGACATTGGCTTCTCGGGTGTCGTTTTGACCTCCACCAAAGCTTATCTGTGCTTGTTGACATACACTGGTGATTGTTCGAATGCATAATAATATTACCAAATATTCGGTCTTTCACTGATGTATTTTGTATGTGTTGACATTCACTAATTTCGGTCTTTCACAGTAACATGTCCACTATTTAGAGGTGAATATAATAGATGTCCTATTTGAAGGGTCTGGAGACTGTAAAAATGTCCATTAACCTGTCCCACGTTGTTCCCAAGTATTTTTGTGTTGATCTCATTTGACCTAACCTGTTGACACCGAATATACTCGTTTCTGCATCAGAACGTTTTTGATACTAGATGTTGCTATGTGTCATAATTTTTATATTAAAACAAACTTACAAAATATAATTTTTTTTGTTTTTATATTTTTCAATATATTTATTTTGTTTGTGCAAAATAAAAAAAAATAATTTTTAACGATACAGTAGCCACTATTATCATTAAATAAAAAAACTTCATTAGGCTTAACATTGACAAAAATTCAACATGGCGGCCACACGCAACAGAGAAAAATTTCAACATGTTAAGGTTAAGAATAGGTTAAGTAGAAGTGTCTGCTATTTGGGAGTGTCCATTAATGGAGGTTTTACTGTATAAGAAACCAATTTTACTATAGTCTTAATGATATGAACAAGATATAATCTACTGATTGTTATTCTAATTGGATAATATTCTCAAACTTAAGCACTTATTTCCCACTTTGTAGAAACAATTTTACTGTTTATAAAGAAAATCCAACAACAACAGTAATGATTACAAATGTATTTGTATCTTTCCTCAACAACATTAAACTAAATGACACTAACTGTAAGTGAAGACTTTCTATATATTTTTAACAACATTATTTTAAAATTGTTTATAACTGATTTGTGTAAGTAGATCAAGTTATAGTGATTGAAGTGTTATTTATATACAAAAATCAGTCAACTTTTAAATAAAAACAAATTATATTTTTCTTCACTACATTCCTATAAGACAATACAAGCATACCCTAGGTTATGAACACTTCACAATAAAACAAACCTCATATACAACTGTCATATATTTCTACCCCTACCATGATCCAACTTAGCTTTTCCCACTGTTATGATGCTTCATCCATTCCAAGTGTTGCTATGATATCTGTCCAGTTTTTGCATCTTGTGTCTGGGTTTTAAGAAAATTTGGCAAATTGTCAATAAACACACTCTAAACAACCTTTAAAGTTCAGTAATAAAAATTGTTTTAATAAACAGCTTTTGACAAACATTTTCAACCTTGACCAAGGTCTGCCTCAGGTCTTTAAATTAATGAAATTCCAAATTGGAATGCACAAAACAACTTTTCAAAATATTATTTTTAAAAATTGGACAAAAACAATGCTATATAACAGCAAAAATTAAACAATGGTAAATATAAAATTTAACACACTGTATATAAAGCTAACATATTTTTTACTAGACTTTAAAGGTCATTTAAAGTGTGTTTGTGATTCATTCCAGTATTAAGAAGGTAACTTTAAATTGTCAATTATTTATTTTTTAACAATATAGCTGATTTTATAACTGACAAACAGAAACAGTCTGATAATTTAAGTAGAAAGTCATTTATAATAAAATTCCATATAGAGATCCAGATACCAGGTCTTGAAGACAGCCTTTATTTGGAGAGCAGGTTTTTCTTTTAACAAAGCCCAATTTAAGTAAACAAATTGAGTAATATCATCAAACAGAAAAGGCAGCCAGAATTGATCAACAAAACAGGTGTAGTGTTTTACCACGATAATGTCAAATTTCACACAAGTTTGTTAACTTGTCAGAAACTGTTATAACTTAGATGAGACATGCTATCACACCAACCATATTTGCCAGATCAAGCACACTCAGATTATTACTTGTTCTGGTCTACACAATTTTTTTTTAATTTTAAGACATTTACTTGAAATCACTTGAAATGTCAAAAATCACTTGGATCAGTTTTTTGTAAGCAACGATCAAAACTTTTATGAATGTGAAATCATGCTACTACCAAAAACAATGACGACACGTATTTGACCAAAATGGTCGATATATTAATTCAATAAAATATTTATTTATTATAGAAATATTGTTTTTTTCCAAGCAAAAAAACAAAATTACTTTCCGAACAACCCAATAGTTATAATTGAATAGAGAGCAACAGGAATGAAAATGACACATCAATTGGGCATTATAAACAAACAATAAAGAAATTTAAAATGTGATATGAGTTTTCTGTTTTGATTGCCAGATACAAACATTTTTGTAATAAATATACTAACAAAGTGGCTAATTTGTGTCTGGAATATGAATGACAAATCAACTGGGTATCATAAAAAGAAAAATTTATTGAAAAACATTAAAAAATAAAAAAATTTATATTTATTTATATTATCTGAATTAAATTTTAAAAAAAAGTATGGGGAAATTGCAATTCACAATACTATTACTATTTGATGAAACACATTATGTATATAACTGGGGTACACCTGTACATTTCTTTGAAAATCAAATAAAAACAATTGAATTTTATTGAGATATTCTCATTTACCACTACATTCATTGACCCTTGAATACCAGATTTCCATTTTTTGATCTGTGCAGAATTGCCTTAATTGAAAATTATTCACAAAAAATTATAGAGAAAGTCTGTACATGAGTTACTGATTAGAGACTTTTTGTGTGATAAACAAAAAATTTTGGTTTATTAGTACAAAAATTGTACTTGTTACACAACCCAGTACAAAATGTTATAAGATCATCTTTTTTTTATTAAAATGTATACTAAATAATGATTATAGTTAAAAAGAATTTCATTTTTCATTTACATTTTATGAAACTGAGAAATTAAATATATAATTTAAGACAAATATACATGAGAAATTCACAAAAATATTTAAATTTTATGCAGTATTGAACTATATTATTATGAATTTAGTAAAAATTTATCAAATTTATTTAATCAATTTCAATGACTATAAAAATAAACTTACCCTTACTACATCAATTGGAGTAGATGCTATAGCACCTGTTAGTCCTGCTACAAAACTGGAGCTATTAATTTAAAAAAATTCATTAACATATTTTGTTATTATAATTTAAAAATTTGTACTACAAGTTTATGATAAATTCAAACAATTCAATTTCATATTATGTAATAATTAAATTTATGTTAAATTAATTATGTAAGCATAAATGTAATCAGATGTTTATAAGACTAGATATATATATATATATAAGTAGAAAACCAAGGACAGTTACATAATAAAAAACTATAAAAATTATTAAATTTCAAATACTAAATATTTAACATATTGCCTCAATATGTTAAATATGTAAATAATATAAAATTTTGTATTTTACGAATATTTTCCTTTCTATTAATTTCAATTTATATTCATACTATAAATTAAGAATGAAAAAAAATAACTAAATATAGAATATAAAAATACATTATATATTCCCAAATAATATTTTTGAACTGAAACTTTGTTAATAATTATTCTTTTTAAATCAAAACTCTTATTCAAATATAGAAAAATTGTTGAACTGCTTTAGATATAATGTCATATTTTCCACTTTCAACTTTTTTATAAAAGTTGAGAAATTTATTAAAAATAGATTTTTATATTTATTTTTATTTCTATCTTTAAAGAATATGTAAGTTCTCAAAAAATAAAAAAACAACAAAGAGAAATTCAATGTAATTTCAAAATACAATTATAGAATATCAAAAATTTAAATTGTATCTGTCTAAATATAATTATTTGAAACAAATTTTTTCACTAGCAATTACATTCAATGAAATAATTTATGTGTAAGTTTTGTTATATAGTAGTAGTAAGCATGGAAGGCCACTATTAGTGCTGTCCAAATTCCAGCAGCACCTACAGCTACATATGGGCTCAGTCAGAGGAAACCCCGTCCCAACGCTAGCTAAAGGATGAATGAATGAATGAGTAGTAATTAATAAAAATTTCTAAAATTTAGTAGTAAAATTAAATACTAATTTAAATGAAATTAGTCATAATTAAATTTTCTATGATATTAAAATTAAACTAAAATTTTCTATGATATAATATATACTTTGTGAAATTACCAGAACAGAAATTTATTCTACTTATTTAAATAATTTTAAAAGTTCTAAATTCAATTCATTTTCTAGTTTTACACACAACAATTTTGTTCTTTCTAAAATGACTTTAAGCAAGACAATTTTTTTAGTGAAATTATTATTATTATTATTAATCAGAAATAAATGCTCTTTGTTAAAATAACTGATTTTGTAAAGTTTACTCTAGCTAATAAATCTCTCCTTATTAATGCTTTCAATTTCAGTAATAATCTTAGTAGAATCTGTTCCTATCAAATTGTTTAATGCATTCAGATTAACTATAATGATATTTAATATTATAATGATTAATAAACTCAATAATGATATTTACAAGTATTCTACAAATTGAAATATCCAAGTAATCCAAGTTGAAATAAAATATATATATAATAATAATAAAAAATTACATACAAAAAATGATTTAACATGTTATCTCCTATAATGTCAGCTCTTATGAGATTCTTCTTTGTAATATCATATACAGGTAATTCTACACCAGCTACAACTGCAGCTCTTTGAGCTGTTGGTCCAACTCCCTAAAAGATTAAAATAATAAAAATTACTCAATTATTTTACTCAAGATTACATTACTTACGTCATACTATTGCAATAAACTTACAATTACAGTATTCAAATGTTTCAACAAAAAACATTTTTAGATGATAATGTTTCCAGTGTATTTCTATTTTAATAAAAATTGCCATCTTTTTAGATATTTCAAAATTTTTTTGAAAAAATTTTTATACAGATTTTTTACTTATTATATGCGAATAGGTGCCAAAATTTTCTAGCTTAACTATATTTCCTTAGACATAATAGGAATAAAATAATGATAGTATCAGATAGTACCATCCGTATGTTTACTAATAAAACATTTTCTCCCCACCAATTTGTGTAAGCTGCTTGGAAACTTTCATTTTAGCTACACTTGTTGCATTAATCTGCATCATGTTCACCTCTTGCAGGACAATGCATCAAGTGCACAGCTTCCACTGCCAAGGCTGCTGTAAGGGAGTGCAAGTTCAAGGAACTTTATCATACACACTATAGCCAGGACCTGGCTCCTAGTGATTATTAACTGTTTCCAAAAATCAAAATTGATCTTTGAAAAAGTGATAAAGTGTTGCAGGAGGCAGTTTATGAGAATTTTGCAGACAAAACAACTGACTATTTTTTCAAGGGTATTGAAATGCTAATTCCAAGATTAAGTGTGTTGAATTGCAAGGAGACTATATTGAAAAATGACATTTAGATGTTATAACTATAAAACAATAAACATAGTTAGGCAGGAGACTTAAGCACCTACCAAGTATGTATTTTATTTTAATAACAAGAACACCTGGCAGTTTGTAATCACCGTTTCAATAAAATTTTGTGAATATGTTGTATTTACTTGTATTTAAACTCTACCAAAGACCAGGACCCACTTCAGGCATTCTTAAAAAAATTACAATAAATGTTTTCTACAATTAATACCTATATGGAAGACTGATTCACAAATTTTCAGCATAGTGTGATTAGTTAAGGTGTCATTTGAAGAGCTTATGTTTTTGGATTAAATTCCTGTTTATAATTTAATCTTATCGTTTTTAAATTTGTTATATACAATTTTTTATGTAAATTTGAAAACATTTTTTACTTTGATCACTTCATTTTTAGAGTGTACATACAACATTATAACAACATTTTGTATTATTTAACATAATGTAGATTTTTATAAAGATTTCTTAATTGAAATATGATTAATTAAATGATTATTTATTGTGACATTATCACAATGCCAAACTGCAATTTTTTGTCACAATACCCTCAATTTTAGTAGTGTCTTGCCTCTGAACATCATACTTTTCCTGTTAATAATGGAGTCATGCCAGTCATCTATCTAACTCTGTTCAGGAGAAATTTTTGAATGGAAATAATGTCACTTCCATCCAAACCAGAAATTCATATATCAGGACCTTCTGCTCCTAAGCTTTCCATATCTGGGACTTGACTTTCATCTATCTAACTCTGTTCTTGAGATTAAGGAAGGGCAGACAGATAAATGCTAATGGGAATTTATAGATCTACAATTTTTTTAAATTGCAGCCCAATTACAACAATATTAAAAAATGTAAAGTTTTTCTTAATAATAGATTCATGGAGTGGTCAAACAAATTCTCAAATATATAACAAAATTTTTGTAGATGACAGTTATTCCATCTTGTCAATTAAAACTTATCCCACTGAAATGTACTCTTCTTTGTCAGCCTTACAATGTTTATTTTAATAGCAGGTTAAAAATTTTTTCAAAAAATTACAAAATTGTAGCTATCTCCTTAAAACCAATATAGATATAGCAAACTGCAATTTCTTAATACAGAAATTTGCTATTAAAGTATAATTTCTAATTCACAACCAGTTAGTTGGGTGCACCAGTTTTTTGTGACATGTTAAAATGTGCATGGTTTGAGTCTCAAATATTTTCAAATACTTATAAATATAGTCTCAAATAACACACAAAAGAAATATTTTCAAAAATGTTAATGAAATTTGTTTCCCACTCTCTGTTATTAAAACAAAATGTAAAGACTGTGAATGAAGTAGAAATGAATGTGCAACGAGCCATTATGCTTTAACTGTTTTTATGAAAAATATCATCTAAAATGCTGTCATATTATTGTGAAACAGTCATCGTAATATTTATGGCATATATATTTTTGTGAAAAAATTTTAAATTGTGTAAAAAGAATTTTTAAATTCCCTGATGTTTTATAATAAATAATAAATTTTACATTCAATAATTAAAAATAACAAACATTATACAAAACATATTTGAAAACACTAAGATTAAATTATAAAAAAACCCCCCTTGCATATGAGCATCAAACCTGAAAACAAAAGCTCTACAAGTGACATACTTAACTAATCATACTATGATGCAAATTCATGAATCAGTCTTCAGTATAGATATTAAAGGTTGCAAAAAACTTTTATTGTAATTTTCTTGAGGATGATTGAATAGTGGATTTTGTGGCTTTGGTAAAGTTTAAGTACAAGTAAATACAACACATCCACAAAATTTCATCAAAATTGGTAATTACAAATTGCCAGGTGCACCTTGTAAGTATGCAACTGGTTTTTCTGTGATAATTTTTAAGTTATTCAAGACAACCAATAATGGTCAACTATGTTTGGTCAAATAATGTTCAAAGTTCAAAAAGGACTGAAAAATTTCATGACAAGATTTCATGATAAGGAATTTTGTTTTCAAAAAATCCAAATAATATTAATACCACTCTTTGATAGCAAAGAAATTCACAAGAAATTTGTTCCATTCAAATAAACAAGATGCTCAAGCAAGAAGTACTTAACATTTCAAATAGTCTTATTGAAAAAATGAATAGAACTAGGAGAGCTTTTTTTCACTACATAAAACAGCAACTTGAAAAATTTAGTATATTTTGCACTAAATATACTCAACATAAGTCAATTGAGCAACAATTAGACTGAAGAGATAATTCAGCATTGTTTTAAGGATAATCTAATCAGTAGAAGACTATATATGTGGCAGTGTTTAATAAATAAGCAAAATCTGTTTTCATTGATTAAAATAAATTTAAAACAATTCAATAGGCCTTTGCATTATTTAAAATTTTAATGTGCCCTTTTACAGTAGCATTTTGTAACAGACTGAAGCAATTTAAAACAACAAGCAGTACAAGGAGAAAAATTATAACAAAATATAATAAAAAAGTATAATAAATATTTTAAAATACTAATTAAAAATAAACATATATTTACCCTCCATAATCCTTTAATGCCTTCATTTTTATACATTTCTAGAAAACAATTAATCATTCCTTTCTTGTTAAAATTTTTGTTTTGAGCTTGCATTCTGATCTAAAAATATATATGTATTTATTTTCAATTAGAATGGTTAAAATGCTTTAACTATACAGGGATAAAATGCTGACTTTTAATAATCTACATTAAAACAATATATTTAAAAAAGAAAAGTTGTTAAATAAAACAGACAAAAACAAAAAAACAATGAACAATTTATGCATTATATTAAAATAAAAAGTAAAATTATATATGTACATATGTGTGTTAAAATAAAATTACCTTTAATACATCTGTGGGATTTGCTATAGATGAGGATATCACACCAGCCATAATTCCACAAATTACATTTTTTAACAATGTTTCTTCTGAAAAATGTATTTAATTCAAATTTAAATAAGTCCATTAAATTCATAGATAAATAAAAATATACAAATAAAAATGTCAAATATCTTTAAATATAATTAATAAATACACACTGTCTTTCAGTGTTAATTTAGTTTAATTCAAATGTATCAAGTACTTTTTTGTAAAAATTTTGTTCTCATTCTAAATACGTTCTATTTTGCCTGAAGACGACATTTATAAAATGTTAAAAGTACATGTGCACATTTGGGTTAAACTAATAAACACTGACAGACAGTGTGTATTTATTAATTGTATTAATTTGGCATAAAGTGTGTTCATCAATTTTATCTTTAAATATATTTTGTTAATTAAGCCTCAAAAATAAATATACTTAAATTTTCTTTAAAACAAATATTTTTTTGTCGACAAGTTTGATTTCCTATTGTGCAAGAAAAAGAATTTCTTATTGAATTTGGAGATACAATAGTAAATACCTTACTTAATAATTATAAATTTTCATTTTTTAAAATACTGGATATATCTATATAAACATTGTTTTATATTAAAACAATCAATAATTATGAAAAAGTTCTCTGTTTCATTTAAGAAAAATTGACAAAAAATTTATTGGTATTGCAATGACAATTTTGTTCCACAAATAACTATTATTATATTTGAAAAAAAAAAAACAGTCTACGTCACTTCCATCCAAACCAGAAG